TCCAAGAAACAAACCACAAAAGAGACCCCAATCAAATGCAACGACATCTTCAAGCCTTTACCTGGACAAGACAAACCTATCAGAACTGTGTTGACAAAAGGAATCGCTGGCATTGGAAAAACAGTCTCTGTACAGAAGGTCATCCTTGACTGGGCTGAGGGAAAAGCAAATCAGGACATTTATTTCATGTTTCCTCTTCCTTTCCGTAATCTGAACCTGAAAAAGGACCAAAATAGTCTGATGCAACTTCTTTCCCACTACTTCTCAGAGCTGAAAGAGATTGACAGCATTGAAGATGGTGAAACCAAAGCTGTTTTAATTTTTGATGGTCTGGATGTGTGTCGACTTCCTCTAGACTTCCAGAACAACGAGAGCCGCTGTGATGTCACGAAGCCAACCTCAGTGGACGTGCTGCTGACAAACCTTATCAAGGGGAATCTGCTTCCCTCTGCTCTCCTCTGGATAACCACACGTCCTGCAGCAGCCAATCAGTTCCCTCACGAGTGTGTTGACCAGGTGACAGAGGTACAAGGGTTCAATGATTTACAGAAGGAGGAGTACTTCAGGAAGAAAATCGCAGATCAGTATCTGGCCAATGAAATCATCAAATACATGAAGACATCAAGGAGCCTCCACATCATGTGCCACATGCCAGTCTTCTGTTGGATATCAGCCACTGTCCTTGAGATGATGCTGAAAGAGCCAGAGAAGGATGAAGTCCCCAAAACTCTGACCAAGATGTACACACACTTCATGCGCATCCAAATAATTGTGAAGAACAAGTAGTACAACAAAGCCACAGAGACAAACCCAAAGGAACTGTCTCAGTCAGACAAAGAGATGATCCTGAAACTGGCAAAGCTGTCTTTCCAACAGCTGCAGAAGGGCAACCTGATCTTCTATGAGGAGGACCTGAGAGAGTGTGGCATTGATGTCACAGAGGCAACAGAGTACTCAGCATTGTGTACAGAGATATTTAAAGAAGAATCTGGGCTGTACCAAGAGAAAGTATTCAGTTTTGTGCATCTGAGCATTCAGGAGTTTCTAGCAGCAGTGCATGCTTTAGAATCATGTCTGGGAAAGGAGGAATATGTTTTCTCCCCCACTAGTAATGATGAGGATGAAGAGAAGGAGTCTATCAAATTGTCTGACTTACACAGGATTGCAGTGGACCAGGCCTTGAAGAGTGAGAATGGCCATCTGGACCTGTTCCTCCACTTCCTTCTTGGCATCTCACTGCAGTCCAATCAGAATCTGTTACGAGGCCTTCTGACACAGACAGGAAGTACAACACAGAGCAATGAGGAAACAGTTACGAGAACAGTCAGGTACCTTTCAGACAAGATCAAGAAGGAATCTTCACCAGAAAGGATCATCAACTTCTTCCACTGTCTGAATGAACTCGGTGTCAACTCTCTAGTTGAAGACATGCAGAACGCCATGCGATCAGGAACTCTTTCAGAAACGGTCCTAAAACCTCACTAATGTTCAACCCTGGGCTATCTGTTGCTTATGTCAGAGGAGGTGCTGGACGAGTTTGACCTGAAGACATACAACACATTAAGGGAAAGTTATCAGAGGTTGCTGCCAAAAGTGAAAACCTGTAAGTTCTGTTATTGTGTTGATGTATATAGTATCATTATAATGAAGGCTTGGTTTATCTAACATATTATCTCCTCTCTCCAGACTGGATGGCTGTGAACTCACATATAAATCCTGTGAGACTCTGGCCTCAGCTCTGCAGACATCGTGGTCCTCTGTAGCTCAGCTGGTAGAGCACGGCGCTTGTAACGCCAAGGTAGTGGGTTCGATCCCCGGGACCACCCATCCACAAAAATGTATGCACGCGTGACTGTAAGTTGCTTTGGATAAAAGCGTCTGCTAAATGGCATATTATTATTATTATTTATCAAACTCCCACCTGAGAGAATTGGACCTCTGCAACAATGACCTGGGAGACAGAGGAGTGAAGCTGCTCTGTATTGGACTAACCAGTCCACTCTGCAACATACAGACACTTGTGTGAGTTAACTTTCTTCAGTCTCCACTGTGTCTTTATATTGTTTATATATTGTATTATTTTAACTTATTATGTGTATGTTTTTGACATTATTTGAAAATCTTGGTAAATATGCAGAAACATACATAAAATGTGATAAATATATAAAACTAAGGTTAAATATCTTGAGTGAGTTAGTTTGTTTTTAACATTGGTTAATTATGTGTCCTTCTGTTATTGTCTTAATGCATAACATTATTCTTAAAGCTTTGTATACAGTGCCTTGCAAAAGTATTCATCCCCCTTGGCATTTTTCCTATTTTGTTGCATTATAACCTGTAATTTAAAGGGATTTTTATTTGGATTTCATGTAATGGACATACACAAAATAGTCCAAATTGGTGAAGTGAAATGAAATAAATAACTGAAAGGTGGTGCATGCATATGTATTCACCCATCCCTGGTCTGTTACAGAAGAGTAGCCACCTTTTGCCTTGATGACGGCTTTGCACACTCTTGGCATTCTCTCAACCAACTTCATGAGGAATGCTTTTCCAACAGTCTTGAAGGAGTTCCCACATATGCTGAGCACTTGTTGGCTGCTTTTCCTTCACTCTGCGGTCCAACTCATCCCAAACCATCTCAGTTTGTATTTGTATTTATTATGGATCCCCATTAGCTGCTGGGGTCCAGCAAAATTAAGGCAGTTCATACAATTTTAAAAACATTACAATACATTCACAGATTTCACAACACACTGTGTGCCCTCAGGCCCCTATTCCACCTCTACCACATACAGTGACGTGCGAAAGTATTCACCCCCCTTGGCATTTTCCCTATTTTGTTGCCTTACAACCTGGAATTAAATTGATTTTTTGGGGGTTTGTATCATTTGTTTTACACAACATGTCTACCATTTTGAAGATGGAAAATATTTTTTCTTATGAAACAAACAAGGAATAAGACAAAAAAAACTGAGCGTGCATAACTATTCACCCCCCCAAAGTCAATACTTTGTAGAGCCACCTTTTGCAGCAATTACAGCTGCAAGTCTCTTGGGGCATGTCTCTATAAGTTTGCCACATCTAGCCACTGGGATATTTGCCCATTCTTCAAGGCAAAACTGCTCCAGCTCCTTCAAGTTGGATGGGTTCCACTGGTGTATAGCAATCTTTAAGTCACACAACAGATTCTCAATTGGATTGAGGTCTGGGCTTTGACTAGGCCATTCCAAGACATTTAAATGTTTCCCCTTAAACCACTCGAGTGTTGCCAGTCTCAAATCTCTGGAAGACTGAAACAGGTTTCCCTCAAGAATTTCCCTGTATTTAGTGCCATCCATCATTCCTTCAATTCTGACCAGTTTCCCAGTCCCTGTCAATGAAAAACATATCCACAGCGTGATGTTGCCACCACCATGCTTCACTGTGGAGATGGTGTTCTCGGGGTGATGAGAGGTGTTGGGTTTGCGCCAGACATAGCGTTTTTCTTGATGGCCAAAAAGCTCAATTTTAGTCTCATCTGACCAGAGTACCTTCTTACATATGTTTGGGGAGTCTCCCACATGCCTTTTGGCGAACATCAAACGTGTTTGCTTATTTTTCTCTTTAAGCAATGGCTTTTTTCTGGCCACTCTTCCGTAAAGCCCAGCTCTGTGGAGTGTACGGCTTAAAGTGTTCCTATGGACAGATACTTTGCTTTGCAGCTCCTTCAGGGTTATCATTGTTGCCTCTCTGATTAATGCCCTCCTTGCCTGGTCTGTGAGTTTTAGTGGGCGGCCCTCTCTTGGCAGGTTTGTTGTAGTGTCATATTCTTTCAATTTTTTAATAATGGATTTAATGGTGCTCCGTGGGATGTTCAAAGTTTCTGATATTTTTTTATAACCCAACCCTGCTCTGAACTTCTCCACAATTTTGTCCCTGACCTGTTTGGAGAGCTCCTTGGTCTTCATGGTGCCACTTGCTTTGTGGTGCCCCTTGCTTATTGGTGTTGCACACTCTGGGGCCTTTCAGAACAGGTGTATATATACTGAGATCATGTGACACTTAAATAAAGTCTACCTGTGTGCAATCTAACTAATTATGTGACTTCTGAAGGTAATTGGTTGCACCAGATCTTATTTAGGGGCTTCATAGCAAAGGGGGTGAATACATATGCATGCACCACTTTTCTGTTATTAATTTTGTAGAATTTTTTTAAACAAGTTATTTTTTTCATTTCACTTCACCAATTTGGACTATTTTGTGTATGTCCATTACATGAAATCCAAATAAAAATTGGATTGCATTACAGGTTATAATGCAACAAAGCTGTGCGCCAGTAGCTCGGTGCATTCAACATGTCAATAGTTGGGTTGAGGTCAGGTGATTGTGGAGGCCAGGTTATCTGATGCAGCACTCCATCACTCTCCTTCTTGGTCAAATAGCCCTTACACAGCCTGGAGGTGAGTTTTGGGTCATTGTCCTGTTGAAAAACAAATGATAGTCCCACTAAGCGCAAACCAGATGGGATGGCATATCGCTGCAGAATGCTGTGGTAGCCATGCTGGTTAAGTGCGCCTTGAATTCTAAATAAATCACAGACACTATCAACAGCAAAGCCCCCCCCCCACACCATCACACCTCCTCCTCCATGCTTCACGGTGGGAACCACACATGCAGAGATCATCCGTTCACCTACTCTGCGTCTCACAAAGACACGGCGGTTGGAACCAAAAATCTCAAATTTGTACTCATCCGACCAATGGACAGATTTCCACAGGTCTAATGTCCATTGCTCGTGTTTCTTGGCCCAAGCAAGTCTCTTCTTATTATTGGTGTCCTTTAGTAGTGGTTTCTTTGCAGCAATTCCACCATGAAGGCCTGATTCACGCAGTCTCCTCTGAACAGTTGATGTTGGGATGTGTCTGTTACTTGAACTCTGTGAAGCATTTTGTGAGAGAGATGTCATTCTGAAGTATCACTTCAGGAACTGGGAACCCTATAGTCAACATCTGAAATTCATGCAGGACTCACAAGGTGGTCCATTGCTGGACATCACTATGGAGTTAGGTGAACTGGAGGAAGTTCATCTGCCACACTGTGTCTGTTTAGGTAAAATAATATAAAAATAGTATTCAGAAAGACATTTCCATATAACTGAGTTTCTGTTTCTGAATAAATTAATGAACTATTCTTGGAGTTTGAGTTTACTGTGATCTTGCACTGCATATTCTTAATGTTTTAGTTTGGTGAATAATACAACATTTGTCTTTCTATCTCCTTTTTATTGTGTTGTGCAGGGACCAAAACTTACATGAGGAATGAGATGAAGATTCTTCATGTAGAGGAACATGGAGTGTATTTTGAGGAAGTGCATGAGGTCACCCGATTCCATGCTAAGATTCTCCATCCCAAGTTCTCACCTATCTCTATTATATTGAGATTACTGTCTTGGAACGTAGATGTACACTGTGAGCTGATGCTCTATCTGACAGTGAAAAGGGAAACACTAATTCCACGGCTATAACTGTTCCCCAGTGACCCCAGTCAAAAACAGGTGAGGTACCATTATTTAAGAGATTACTTCAACTAACCAGTGGTGCAGTTCATGTTGACAATTATTGAATGAAGACAGTCTGTTGCTAGTTTTCTGAATGATGTTTGAATAAGACTATACAGTGGGGAGAACAAGTATTTGATACACTGCCAATTTTGCAGGTTTTCCTACTTACAAAGCATGTAGAGGTCTGTAATTTTTATCATAGGTACACTTCAACTGTGAGAGACAGAATCTAAAACAAAAATCCAGAAAATCACATTGTATGATTTTTAAGTAATTAATTTGCATTTTATTGCATGACATAAGTATTTGATCACCTACCAACCAGTAAGAATTCCGGCTCTCACAGACCTGTTAGTTTTTCTTTAAGAAGCCCTCCTGTTCTTCACTCATTACCTGTATTAACTGCACCTGTTTGAACTTGTTACCTGTATAAAAGACACCTGTCCACACACTCAATCAAACAGACTCCAACCTTTCCACAATGGCCAAGACCAGAGAGCTGTGTAAGGACATCAGGGATAAAATTGTAGACCTGCACAAGGCTGGGATGGGCTACAGGACAATAGGCAAGCAGCTTGGTGAGAAGGCAACAACTGTTGGCACAATTATTAGAAATTGGAAGAAGTTCAAGATGACGGTCAATCACACTCGGTCTGGGGCTCCATGCAAGATCTCACCTTGTGGGGCATCAATGATCATGAGGAAGGTGAGGGATCAGCCCAGAACTACATGGCAGGACCTGGTCAATGACCTGAAGAGAGCTGGGACCACAGTCTCAAAGAAAAACATTAGTAACACACTACGCCGTCATGGATTAAAATCCTGCAGCGCACACAAGGTCCCCCTGCTCAAGCCAGCGCATGTCCAGGCCCGTCTGAAGTTTGCCAATGACCATCTGGATGATCCAGAGGACGAATGGGAGAAGGTAATGTGGTCTGATGAGACAAAAATAGAGCTTTTTGGTCTAAACTTCACTCGCCGTGTTTGGAGGAAGAAGAAGGATGAGTACAACCCCAAGAACACCATCCCAACCGTGAAGCATGGAGGTGGAAACATAATTCTTTGGGGATGCTTTTCTGCAAAGGGGACAGGACGACTGCACCTTCCCTCAGTAAGAGCATTGAATATGGGTCGTGGCTGGGTCTTCCAGCATGACAACGACCCGAAACACACAGCCAGGGAAACTAAGGAGTGGCTCCGTAAGAAGCATCTCAAGGTCCTGGAGTGGCCTAGCCAGTCTCCAGACCTGAACCCAATAGAACATCTTTGGAGGGAGCTGAAAGTCCGTATTGCCCAGCGACAGCCCCGAAACCTGAAGGATCTGGAGAAGGTCTGTATGGAGGAGTGGGCCAAAATCCCTGCTGCAGTGTGTGCAAACCTGGTCAAGACCTACAGGAAACGTATGATCTCTGTAATTGCAAACAAAGGTTTCTGTCACAAATATTAAGTTCTGCTTTTCTGATGTATCAAATACTTATGTCATGCAATAAAATGCAAATTAATTACTTAAAAATCATACAATGTGATTTTCTGGAGGAGGTCTATATATAGTCACATTCTCATCCCTTCTAGCTCAAAACCCCTCCCTCTTCAGTTTCCCGCTCTTTATTGCTCCGCCTACTTCCTTTGTCTATGATGGCGGCTAAATTCGACTTTCATTCAGTTCAGAATCAATAGTAATACAATCAATCAATCCCTTATCTTACAAAAACACTAATGTTTAGTTTAAACTCTGTTCAACCCCAGCTCTCAGAACCTTTGTTTGAGTAGAGATGCATTAGGCCACGGTCTGGTTTCAGTCTCTGATAAGGTAGGACAGCCATGGATTTAAGTAAGAGCGAGCAATTCGACCCTAGGTCAGATTCCCACTTCACCCACACACACACAGTGAAAGGACCCAATTAAGTTCTTTGCCTAGCAACAAAGAATTCTAACTCTATGTTCGTGATTAACCCAGTTTTATCTCATAGTCCACTAAACAAATCTCCCTCAATGACTGATATTATCTCATAGAAGAAAACGTAAAAGATCTCCTAAACCAGTCTTAATCTCAGACCGTATTTTCAGCGTTGTCATGTTATTTTTTTGCCATTATTACTGTACATTTAAGTAATTTAGCAGACACTCTGGTAATATTTTGCTAAATACATATACTGTAACTCACATCTCTGAGCTATCTTTTAGCATTTTCCTCACAGTAACAGACATGTTCAGCCTTTGTTGGTCTTATTACACCAATATATATTCCTTTATGTCATTGAAAAATCAATTCAGTTCCTCCACATTGAAATTAATGGTGGCCAACTTGAAAATAGGCTGCTGTGACAGATTTTACACTAAATCTATGATGACTCTGAAACTTTTCCAATGGGTATCGTTGTTCTGTGGGAAATTTGGTGTAGTTATCATCTAGGGTACCATATGATAATAAAGCACATCTCAATACTGCCCATTCTGTCTCAATATACCCCAAAATGCATACAGGTATGACCAGCTCATGAAATATGAGACCAACACTTTACATTTTACATTTAAGTAATTTAGCAGACGCTCTTATCCAGCGAGTGCATACATTTTCAAATCCAAATGATGGGGATTAACAGTACATTTACTACTGGTGACATGTAATGAGAAATTTATCAAAATAAATTAAAGGGCAAACAAGTCACACAATTAAACAATGAATGCCCAAGAATTGGCAGGAGACAGCTGAGCCATTCTGGAGAGAGACTTGCTTATATCTTCACAACACATCCCTCCCCTTCTTCTTGTCTCAACATGTTCAATTATACTCAAGAGACATGATCTTCACACATATTTTAGATGCTTTTCACTGACAGCCGCAACTCAACCAGCTAGGCCTATTGCCGCGTGTGCTGCCCAAATTGCGGGCTTCCCAAATAGGCATAGGCCTACGAGCTTCTGATTTGCAACAATCCACAGCTATTCTTTTAAAGAAGCTAAAGATCCTTGATTCCTCTGTGGCTAAGTCATGCTTTCTGGTGAAGTATTTTATGTATTTCTGTATAGACAGGAGTAATTATATAACTTTGGCAAATGTATTTCCATTTACTTCCTTATAGGACCCACCGCTATGCCATTTCTCTCCTGTTCTATTGGTTTTCATATTAACTTTCTTTCATTGTCCAGAAGCCAAAGGCACAATCCTAGTCATATTAGCAACCCATCCTAGTTGTTGCATCTTTAGAGTCACCCTCTTTCTAAGTTTATAATAGAGATTTTCATCTTTGTCACATATTGAACCGCTATCAGGTGCGCTGTTTAGAATGGTGTTTTCAAGAGGTGCGATGTTTAGAATGGTGTTTTCCCACTAATTGCATTTTGACAAATGTTTGAAATTGAAGTTTCATTGGCTGCTTCATTACATAATTGGCATGTTCTGTTAAGATGTATTAGCATAATCTAAATGTGATCTGTCATTCTGAGCACCATGGGTGGACGCCCTAATGGGTTATGCATCCAATGCATATGGGTCCGGTAAATTTCTCAAATGGCCAGTAATGTTGTCTGGCACCACATTTTCTTAACTGGAAACCCTGATCTGTAGAGATAGATAAGACTCATCTTTGTATCTGTGCCATTATAGTGTCTGTGACAGCATGGCCAGCGCCATTGAGGCCATCTCCATTTTGAAGTAGTACATTTTCTTCTTCAAGATTGTCTGCTCCCTCCTGATGACCCGGTTGAAAATGACTCCAACAGGGTCACCAGGAGGGATCAGCCAATGAAGTTGGAAGTCCCACCCAGTAGACAATATTAAAATGGTGGAAGCCCTCAATGGCGCTGCCCATGCTAATACAGTCTTTTTGCCACTAGAGGCCTCTATCATTCTCAATGGCTACATCCTATCGAACCTGTCGTCTGGTGTGGTTGGTTAGCCTGCTAGCTAGTAGCCAATGCCACGGGAAGCAAGGTTAGGAATTAAGCTAGCTAGCCTGTTATGCTAGCGACGACAATAACAGTTTAGCTAGCCAGGAAGCGAAACATTTGGCTAGCTGACCATGGCAAGCAAGGTTAGGAATTAAGGCTTAAGCTAGCTAGCCTGTTAGGCAAGCGATGATGATAACTGTTTAGCTAGCTAGCAAGTGAACATTTGGCTAGCTGGCATCAGGAGTATGGGGTAACGTTAGTTACAGCGTGGTTAGACCAAAGGCCGGCAGATGGCAATATCGAGTCGTTTCATCTTACTGTCCAAATGCATTGTCTGCAGCCAGCAATACATTCGTAAACCCTCGTGGACCAGTTCGTACCTAAAACATTCTCCATTCAGGCTGCACAGGCTTTGATTTCCTCAACTTTATTTAGTGTCGAGATTGCGGGAAATAGAACCGGCGAAAATATGCATACTTTCCTTATGAAACATAATTTTTCTACCACCATACTAGAGTGGCTAAATGCTAGTCCCGGATGTTGTGCATCGTGTTCAGCCAATCAGGCTGCTAACGCAGCGCTGTATCGCATTAGATGAAACCAAGACTGTTCTCAGGGCGGGTCTGCCGGTTTTGACTAGCAGAAGTGACTTTTCGTAGCAGGTTAGGAGAATTAGGTTAAGGTTAGGAAAAGGGTTAGGGTTAGCTAAAATGCTAAACAACCAGGTCTGCCCTGAGAACAGTCTTGTTTTCCACTAATGCAATGCTAATGCAGCAGGTGTGAAAGAAACGGAACCCCGGTCAGTTTCAACCCGATTGGCTGAACGCGATACACAACATCCGGGATTAGCATTTAGCAACTCTAGCATGGTGGTGGAAAACGGTGTTTCATAAGAAAGTAAGCATATTTCCCCCATTTTTATATACGGCAGAGGTACGCTACAACAGGACTTGCTCTTGGTTTGCACTATTTCTACTGTACTTTCTTTGACCATACACCGGATGTAGGATTTCCCTGATGTCCCCCACCGGAAACGAGAGAAAGGCCTTGAAGCAGTGCCTTGATGTGAGAATGAGGGGTATTGTACAAAACAAAGTCATCAGCGATTGGATAATCTCTAACCAATCAGAGTATCAAAGCCAATGACGAAATGTAAAAACGCTTTACTCACAAGTGTTCTGGCTCTGGCCCAACCCATCGGTTTCTGTGACCAATCAGACGGTTTCGAAAGGATTTCCATTCTAGAAATTGTCGGGGAGGTACTCAGTTCCAGACTCATTGCGGAGAAGAAACTAACGTCCGTGGTCGTGGCATAGTGTTTGGCCGGAGCATGGAGTTTGGGTAGCCAGGTAATTCAGACCACAGAAAGTCTGCTCATTTAAAACACACGCGAGTGACATACAGGTCTTTCAGAGTAGCCTACATAGCCATTTGTTTTTCCCAAACAACAATTAAATATTTAACAAACACAAAATAACGTCATCCAAACATCTCCTGAAATCCAACAGCACAGATTGGTTCTTTTTCACAATTCAATATTTGGTTTAAAATGTTTTAATGTCATTTAACTTTCTAATTCTGAAATGTACAACTGCTCATTTGAATTGTAATAATCCACAGCTTTTCCCTCTTTTTGTAGGTTTCTAATCTTTCCATGAGGGCCTTCACCAGGACCGGCGTTGTGGGCGGGCCTTAGGAGGCCTGGCCCGCCCTACCGTACCTCCTTACCGGTCCAAATGATCATTTATTTGACCGAGACGCGCGCCAACAGAAAGACGCATCAATCTCAGATAAAGCATCCGATCGAGCAAAACAGCGCCCCCACCGTCTCAGTATGTGTAGACCATGTATCTGATTCTGTCTGGACGAAAAGAGTATGACATGTCATACATTTTCTGGCTAGACAGGATCAGATACATGTGCTACATGTAGTAAAACAGAGGGGCGCTGTTTGGCTCGCTTGGATGCTTCTCCGGCGAAAGTTTCTGCAGCGAGGAAGAGGCAGCGAAACAAGAGGGCTTACTCTCGCCAAAATCTGTCCAGATAACGCCTAATGCATTTTTATGGGCATAGTATGCAGACCTAAACTTGTAGCCTGCCTTCCTGCCTTTAGGACAATAACTCACATTGTTAGGGCGGAAACATGAGCATCTCGTCATTATATACAGATCTCTGGTTTCAGGCTCTTGCGAATTGGAATGGACAGTTGGCAATTGCACGGTTCGGATGCTGGCTTCCCCTAAAGCAAATAGATGTAGGCAAAATTACATAATTACTCCTTTGAGAATACTTCACCAGAGAGCATGACTTAGCCACAGAGGATCATTCGCTTTTTTTATTTACTTTTTATGCTGTGGGATTCTTTCGAATCACAAGTGCGTAGGCCTATGCCTATTTGGGAAGCCCGCAATTTGGGCAGAGATTGTGGCAATATGCCTAGCTGATTGAGTTGCGGCTGTCAGTAAAAGGGCATCTAAAATGTGTGTTAAGTGTTCAGGCACGTCTCTCTCCAGAATACATGCACTCAGCTCTCCAGAACGCGCTCAGCTGTCTCCCGCCTATTCTTGCTCATTCATTGTGTTAATTGTTTGCCCTTTGATTGTATATTTGTTATCAATTCCCCATTACATATGTCGTAGGTCTAGAAAATGTACCGTTAGTCCTCCCTCATTTGGTTACATGAATTTCTGTTAATGCATGTATTAATTAGTCATTTAGCCTACCGTTCTCATTATCGGAGTTCACAACCTGCTACACTTGTGAGAAACAAGTTTTGGTTTATTTCATAACCATCATTTATGGTCATTTTTTTTGCATTATTTTTTGTTTGATGTGCTCCATGTGAGCATGTGTCTGGTTTCTATCTAGGAACATACAGAGGGAGCTTGCGCGCCTGAACATGCATAGAATAAGGCCTACCTGGCCTGATGCGTGCATATGGAGGAAAGTGCCCATTTGGGATGTCGGATTCCTGATTATCGCGTCCACCACTAATAAGCTGAGTTCCTCATTCTTTTTTTTCTTCACCTCACAGTAAGTCAAGTGTTTTTGTTTTTATTATCCTTTGCGAATAATAGTTCTTCACAGTATTTGAAAAATCTTTCCAACTCTCCCGTCCTCGATAATCACCAAGCCTCGCTGTGAAAGACGAACATATGATCTGATGATCCCATATATCCAGTGGAAACAGCTGTCTGACAGGCTGGGTAGAGATTAATGTTAATTGAAAGATCTGGAATTTAGGCCTATGTAAGGCCTATGTATTTTACTTAGTTGACGATGGACGTTATAGGTCTAGTGCTGCATTGGTTTATAAACTATCTCTGAGTTCGATGTGCTCATTTCTTTAGCCGCCAATGGGATCACAGTGTAGGCCATCAATGTGTCCATATGGCAAAGGCTGGTCCGCTCGCCTTAGAAGTTTTACTTTTAGATTCATCATTTAAAATTCAGATTATGATTAACCACGTGACAATCATTTTGATAAACGAAAACGTTAATGAAATTAAACTGTTCCACGAAAATGTGCATATACAAATAATTTAAAACTGGCACGAAGGTCGGTAGAAATGGTAGGATAAATTGTAAGCCCCCCCCCTATGGAAATCAAAGGCCCGTCCAACTGATTAGTTCTGCTGCCAGGCCTTCACCAAGTTCATTGAGAGGAGCTCATGCAACAGAACCACCGCAAACCAACAACATATGCAGTAGAAGAGTTGCCAGAAGATACCGACCCTACAGTTACACTTTTTTACACTGAGCTGCACTGAGGTCGGAACGCAATCAAGGTTATTACATTAACACCATGGAGCCAGCACAAGATATGGGTCAGAAAACGTACCTCAATGCAGGGATGGGATATGCCATTGCCCTCAATTTTACCTTCATTCACACTGATCCATCGAGAAGATTGAAATACAGTTTTTTCCCCTGGAAAATTGCCCTTTGCGTCCATATGCTAGCTAGCAGTAGACACAGCAGCCATTTTGGAATGGCAGTGTCAGCGAATCAGCTCCTTTGTTCTTCAATGCGACGTGCTACGCATCTCGTGGTGCCCCTTAAAGACACTGTAAAGTCAAGAGGAAATTGCATACCACGTGGTTGTACAACATTTTACATGTCTTTGATAATAAATGACTAACATTTCAGAGTACGTACATGTTTTACTTGAAAATATGAAATACAGGTACAGATGAATGTTTTCTCTAAAGCAAATAAAAAGGTAACAAGTGTTTTTACCAAAGCCAGACTATCAGACTGCTTTTCTCTTTCACAAAGACTGTTCATCAAATGTGAACAAGAGGCCATCAAATTAAAATTACAACATACGACAAGTTGTGACATTTTAAGAGACTTGCATGGCCAAAGGCACGACCGCAATTCTTGCCTGGACAAAATCTGACACAAACTGGTATTCATTGTAGCAAATGTCTCATGTGGATGATGTTGACATTTCACTCAAAGGTTGAACCTCCTTCTGCAGACGTCATTTTCATGTCGCTGAAAAGTATAAAAGCAAATTTAGGAATTATTTTGCTACCAAAGAGGATCTGCCCTGATTCTGCCACTCACACTAGTCCAATATCTAAAAATCAGTGATGTAGTGGTAAAAAATTATAATTGGTGGGTAAACATTGATCGCCCTTCGCGGTGAGTAAAGTAACACTACCTTTGTCTATTTTCAATGTATTTTTTCAATGCATTTTCCGGCAAAAAGTGAGTCAACACAAAAAAGGTGCGCAAAAGGAATTTACCCTCCACTACAGCACTGATCTCAACTTCTCCCTCAAAACCAAATCACACGAGATTTGGTTATGGGTTGCAGAGATGAGGAATTATTCCAAAATGAGCTTTACTCCCACAGTGCTATTGTAAAGGTATACTGTTCTACTGCTTTTGCTAAACGAGCAGTCACTGTCAGTTTCAATTGTTCCACAATTAAAGAACAAAACAGGACTGAGCAACTCACCTTGAGAACCCACTCATATTCCCCAAACTTGGAGTCAAAGGTCCCCTTCTGTAATGATCGGAGTTTCAGAGTGAAGCGTGGTCCCAGCTCCTGAATGCCGACCCTCTTCTCATTCTTAAAGATGTACCTTTGGAGAGTACAAGGGCATTGACATGTTGCGGACAACTCTATAACCCCATCATTCAGATCCCATTAGAATGGGAAACAACAATGGACAGACAACAATACTCTATGGGAAGAGAGTAGCAAACTCAGTAAACACGCACCTTTGGCTGACGTAACAAATTGCGTAGGGAATATGTGACTTGCTCCAGTCGCATTGACCCAGACATACATTTTAGCTCTATACAGTGGGAAAAAAGTATTTGATCCCCTGCTGATTTTGTACGTTTGCCCACTGACAAAGACATGATCCGTCTATAATTTTAATGGTAGGTTTATTTGAACAGTGAGAGACAGAATAACAACAAAATCCAGAAAAACGCATGTCAAATGTCATAAATTGATTTGCATTTTAATGAGGGAAATAAGTATTTGACCCCTCTGCAAAACATGACTTAGTACTTGGTGGCAAAACCCTTGTTGGCAATCACAGAGGTCAGACGTTTCTTGTAGTTGGCCACCAGGTTTGCACACATCTCAGGAGGGATTTTGTCCCACTCCTCTTTGCAGATCTTCTCCAAGTCATTAAGGTTTCGAGTCTGACATTTGGCAACTCGAACCTTCAGCTCCCTCCACAGATTTTCTATGGGATTAAGGTCTGGAGACTGGCTAGGCCACTCCAGGACCTTAATGTGCTTCTTCTTTAGCCACTCCTTTGTTGCCTTGGCCGTGTGTTTTTGGTCATTGTCATGCTGGAATACCCATCCACGACCCATTTTCAATGCCCTGGCTGAGGGAAGGAGGTTCTCACCCAAGATTTGACGGTACATGGCCCCGTCCATCGTCCCTTTGATGCGGTGAAGTTGTCCTGTCCCCTTAGCAGAAAAACACCCCCAAAGCATAATGTTTCCACCTCCATGTTTGATGGTGGGGATGGTGTTATTGGGGTCATAGGCAGCATTCCTCCTCTTCCAAACACGGCGAGTTGAGTTGATGCCAAAGAGCTCCATTTTGGTCTCATCTGACCACAACACTTTCACCCAGTTCTCCTCTGAATCATTCAGATGTTCATTGGCAAACTTCAGACGGGCATGTATATGTGCTTTCTTGAGCAGGGGGACCTTGCGGGCGCTGCAGGATTTCAGTCCTTCACGGCGTATTGTGTTACCAATTGTTTTCTTGGTGACTATGGTCCCAGCTGCCTTGAGATCATTGACAAGATCCTCCCGTGTAGTTCTGGGCTGATTCCTCACCGTTCTCATGATCATTGCAACACCACGAGGTGAGATCTTGCATGGAGCCCCAGGCCGAGGGAGATTGACAGTTATTTTGTGTTTCTTCCATTTGCGAATAATCGCACCAACTGTTGTCACCTTCTCACCAAGCTGCTTGGCGATGGTCTTGTAGCCCATTCCAGCCTTGTGTAGGTCTACAATCTCTTCCCTGACATCCCTGGAGAGCTCTTTGGTCTTGGCCATGGTGGAGAGTTTGGAATCTGATTGATTGCTTCTGTGGACAGGTGTCTTTTATACAGGTAACAAGCTGAGATTAGGAGCACTCCCTTTAAGAGTGTGCTCCTAATCTCAGCTCATTACCTGTATAAAAGACACCTGGGAGCCAGAAATCTTTCTGATTGAGAGGGGGTCAAATACTTATTTCCCTCATTAAAATGCAAATCAATTTATAACATTTTTGACATGCGTTTTTCTGGATTTTTTTGTTGTTATTCGGTCTCTCACTGTTCAAATAAATCTACCATTAAAATTAGACTGATAATTTCTTTGTCAGTGGGAAAACGTACAAAATCAGCAGGGGATCAAATACCTCACTGTAAGTATTCTAAATACATCTGCAAGACGTCTTGCCAATTAGTAAACAATGTCTAAACAGCATCTTCCCGATGTATCCTTCATACGTCGTGCCTACATTGGGCAGAAGTATGTGTGCTATCCTTATGCTAATTATTTCTAGGCATTCTAATGAACATTCACCTGTGAAATCGGAAAAAGATGAAGTCTCTCTGGTTGTGGAAAGTGGCGACTTGGCGTCCCACAAACTGGGGGTCATGAGGGAAAAGGGCAGCAAAGAGGCGTCCCATGCTGTGGCCCAGGCGAGTGGTAAAATTGTTGAGGATCACCTCGGGGGAGTGTTCTGTCGGGTCCTTCCCTCGCCTCTGTAAAAGGTTTTTCTTTCAGTATTTATATTCTTACAATGTATACATTTTCCAGATACATCCCCTAAGTGAGCTGAATTTCTACAGTGCCTTGCAAAAGTATTCATCCCCCTTGGCTTTTTTTTCCTATTTTGTTGCATTACAACCTGTAATTTAAATGGATTTTTATTTGGATTTCATGTAATGGACATACACAAAATAGTCCAAATTGGTGAAGTGAAATGAAAAAAATAACTTGTTTCAAAACATTCTAAAAAATAACTAAAAAATAAATAATCGGAAAAGTGGTGCGTGCATATTTATTCACCCCCTTTGCTATGAAGCCCCTAAATAAGATCTGGTGCAACCAATTACCTTCAGAAGTCACATAATTAGTTAAATAAAGTCCACCTGTTTGCAATCTAAGTGTCACATGATCTGAGCATATATACACCTGTTCTGAAAGGCCCAAGAGTCTGCAACACTACTAAGCAAGGGGCACCACCAAGCAAGCAGCACCATGAAGACCAAGGAGCTCTCCAAACAGGTCAGGGACAAAGTTGTGGAGAAGTACAGATCAGGGTTGGGTTATAAAAAAATATCAGAAACTTTGAACATCCCACGGAGCACCATTAAATCCATTATTTAAAAATGGAAAGAATATGGCACCACAACAAACCTGCCAAGAGAGGGCCGCCCACCAAAACTCACAGACCAGGCAAGGAGGGCATTAATCAGAGGCAACAAAGAGACCAAAGATAACACTGAAGGAGCTGCAGAGCTCCACGGCGGAGATTGGAGTATCTGTCTATAGGACCACTTTAAGCCGTACACTCCACAGACCTGGGCTTTATGGAAGAGTGGCCAGAAAAAAACCATTGCTTAAAGAAAAAAATAAGCAAACACGTTTGGTGTTCGCCAAAAGGCACGTGGGAGACTTCCCAAACATATGGAAGAAGGTACTCTGGTCAGATGAGACTAAAATTGAGCTTTTTGGCCATCAAGGAAAACACTATGTCTGGCGCAAACCCAACACCTCTCATCACCCCGAGAACACCATCCTCACAGTGAAGCATGGTGGTGGCAGCATCATGCTGTGGGGATGTTTTTCCATCAGCAGGGACTGGGAAACTGGTCAGAATTAAAGGAATGATGGATGTTGCTAAATACAGGAAAATTCTTGAGGGAAACCCGTTTCAGTCTTCCAGAGATTTGAGACTGGGACGGAGGTTCACCTTCCAGCAGGACAATGACCCTAAGCATACTACTAAAGCAACACTCGAGTGGTTTAAGGGGAAACATTTAAATGTCTTGGAATGGCCTAGTCAAAGCCCAGACCTCAATCCAATTGAGAATCTGTGGTATGACTTAAAGATTGCTGTACACCAGTGGAACCCATCCAACTTGAAGGAGCTGGAGCAGTTTTGCCTTGAAGAATGGGCAAAACTCCCAGTGGCTAGATGTGCCAAGCTTATAGGGACATACCCCAAGAGACTTGCTGCAAAAGATGGCTCTACAAAGTATTGACTTTGGCGGGGTGAATAGTTATGCACATTCAAGTTGTTTTTTTGTCTTATTTCTTTCACAATAAAAATTATTTTGCATCTTCAAAGTGGTAGGCATGTTGTGTAAATCAAATGATACAAACCCCCCCAAAATCAATTTTGATTCCAGGTTGTAAGGCAACAAAATAGGAAAAATGCCAAGGGGGGTGAATACTTTCGCAAGCCACTGTACTTGCGAAAGTACAGACTCATTTGAGTACAGACTCATTTGATTCATTTTAAAGCACATGGATACAACACTTAAACATTCAGTCTGGGATTTATACATACATTTTGGGAATTTGAAACGAATGACAGCTATTTATTCTTGAAGAATAAAACCTGGAAATACCTCATGAGCTTAGTACAACTGTCTTACCCCATCAGAACCCAAAATATTAGCTTGTTTTACTCAATTTTTTGCAAACAGTGTCATTGTAAAAAAATTAATAATTATAGCTTCAACACATGGACTGTCGGTCCTTGTATCTAGTGCACTGTTTATGAAATTGAGAGGTTACATTTACCCAGCCCCATCCCTTAGAGAATGTCATTATTACCCCTCAGCTATATACCAAAATAAGTGGCAGGGCATCAGGTTTGTTGTTTTTCTAATTACATACTGTAGCTCTAAGTGAGACATTGACATGTCTGTTTGAACAGTTTTGAAATGCCTTGCCTTCATCTCCTTCCGCAGTCGGACACTGCTGACTTTGAAGTGTGCAGTAGGCCCATCAGGGAGGTGGCAGAGAACCATACCATCTTAGTGTTGTGGTGAAGGAAACAGAGACATCTACAAGGGACTTTGCATTATTACTGACCCCAACAGCAACTTTCCACCTCGAGATGGGTGGTCCAACTTGAAACGGGACTTAACTTAGTGCCAGGCTTTTAGGATTGTGATACTGAAGCCTGGTCCGTGACTAAAAGTGAGTGCATGTAATAAGGACGCAGACCAACAACAGCATTAGAGTATCAGAAGCATCAGAGTATCAGAAGCATCATGCCTCATAAACAGTCAACATATGAACAGTCGCAACGTAGAATCTATCTATTCAGTCCCTCAGTCAGTCAACCAAAGGATACTGGGCACCTTACGATCTTCATTGATGACCATGAGGTATGTGAAACCTCTGGCTACACACTGGGGAATGACCCTCTTTAGTGCCAAGCCTCTTCTGTAGTACACGTGTGCGTCGGGTATGACTGTAGCCAGCTGGTTGCAGAACCTCACTGTCCTCTGAAAGACAAAGCAGAAAGCATCAGACAGTTATGCAATAAACATGTAATAACTACCATAAAATGTTAGTGCATATCTGATTATTTGTTAAGGAATATTAAGTGACAAATGATCGCCCAACCCTACATACAGTATTAGTCTCCTACATTGCAGTGCATCAATAACCGTCAACCTGCTTGTCCACAGATATCAGCCTGAGCTAGATTCGGTAGGTCTAATCTTTAAAGGACTTCTTCGCTTTGTTTGGAATTTGAGGTGATTTACAGGTCAGCTGTGCAGCGCCCGGCTCAGACAGCCTCACGAACACACAAGTCGGGCACGTTTCACCTCATGAACACATAAGTGTGCACGTTCCAGGTCATATTCATAAGCATTTCATTGTACACCATGTGTTTACATTTACATTTACATTTTAGTCATTTAGCAGACGCTCTTATCCAGAGCGACTTACAGTTAGTGAATACATATATTTTATTTTTATTTTTATACTGGCCCCCCCCAGAAAACGAACCCACAACCCTGGCGTTGCAAACGCCATGCTCTATCAACTGAGCTACATCCCTGCCGGCCATTCCCTCCCCTACCCTGGACGACGCTGGGCCAATTGTGCGCCGCCCATGAGTCTCCCGGTCGCGGCCGGCTGCGACAGAGCCTGGATTCGAACCAGGATCTCTAGTGGCACAGTTAGCACTGCGATGCAGTGCCTTAGACCACTGCGCCACTCAGGAGTACAGTGTTCATGTGCATATGGCAAATAAACTTGATTTGCAGATGCCTGGAGAAGTGAACATTTCATGACCAATATTAAACTGTCCAGTGTTTCCAGATGTCTATGAAATATGACCAATAATTAATTACAATATTAATGAAATTGTTTTCCTTCCAATAAATTGTAATTAAGTATGTTAAAAAGCAGCTTTTCTGTGTTTGAATGGTATGGGCGTATACTTGTCATTAAAAATATTAATGTGAGTAGACCGTTTATTGGCCAGATCAGCCAATGAGCCAACATGAGGTCATGTTCTATGATCTGTTTGATATACAGGTTTTTTCTCAAATGTATGCTTTGGCCACAAATGAGTCAACAACATTAACTGGGTATGAGTTACCAGAATATCAACTTTTAAAAGTTAGATTTTCACTGGGTAGTTTCTTTAATATGATAAAGCAGGAGTGGCTAACCCTCTTCCTGGAGAGCTACTGGGTACACAGGCTTTCCCCCCCATGTCTTAACGCCTGAACCAGCAGGTATTTAGGCCTAATACAATCAGGTATGCTAGATCAGCATTAAGGAGCCTACAGCCAGGAAGTGGGAAACACCAGCCAAGCCCCCTCCAGTTGATAAAAAAATATTTTAAAAGAAAGCGGTTCAACAAAATGTGTCAGTGAAAGTGGCAGTGAAAGTGGCAGTGAAAGATTCCCTGCTTGTGCATGTGGTTGGCAGCTGCTGTCCCTCCCGGTGCCGCAGCTGCCGGGGTGTGAGGCAAATTTGACGCCGGCTTTATATGGAAACCAATGGAGGCGGCTGCATTTTATTTTTCGGAGTGTAAGCACCTTTAGAGCGAAAGCTTGCAGAAGGTATCACCCCCGTGATATCAATATTCTGAGATTCACAGTGGGACTGCAATAAAGACGACATGGAACGCAACCTCCGTCAACAGGTGCTGTTCCAGTCCACTCACCCCTCTAGGTCTGTCCGATGTGGTGATGAGGACTTTGGGGTTGGTCAGCCGGTTGAAATAGGCCGAAAACTCATCAGTTCCCTCATCAAAGGCAACCTGCAATGGAGGGTATCTGAGTAATATGCAACATCAAAACACTATACTGTAAAGGCACAAGATGACATCAAACAGCTCTGCAGAAAGACAGTACCTCTTCATCTTCAGGGTTAACAGTAGTTTCGTCGTATACCCTCTGGTTTTCTATCGTCTTTGGAACTTCCTTTGGGGGAGCCTACATTGGAAAGGTAAGAAGAGTCATCTTAATATCAATTATGTTTAGGCCTACATCTTTGAATGATTTGGTCTGTCAATAACGGGCTACTCTTATAGCCTTTCTGCGCACAGAGGGCTCTAACAGTTGTCTCTATTCATTTACAGATCAGTGGGACCAAGTGATGTCATGTGTTGCAGCATCCAACCTACTTACCTTGTCACCTAGAGCATCCCTCTCTTTTTTCTTTTTCTTCTTCATTGCCATCTTTTGCTGAAATTAAATAAAAACACTGCATGTTACATGGTTACACTAAAAGACCGGCATAGATGCTCTCGTCCAGTTCCCACTGGTAAGACTTTCCACCGGGGCGGCAGGTATAGCTTCGAGGTTAGAGTGTTAGGCCAGTTACCGAAAGGTTGCTGGTTTGAATCCCGGAGCTGACAAGGTGAAAACCTGTCATTGTGCCCTTGAGCAAGGCACTTGACCCCAATTGCTCCAGGGGTGCTGGACAATGGTGAACCTTGCCGTGATCCCACTCCCTGCGGGTGTCTCAGGAGGAGTTGGAATATGCAAAACGCGGGTGTCTCAGGAGGAGTTGGAATATGCAAAACGCACATTTCCATTACACACTTGTATAAACAGGACAAATATAAGGATCCACCAAATGGTTATCATTATTTTGAGGACTGGGTTGTTCTCAGTGTTTTCCCTAAGCGCCGGCCATCAGCCAAACAGCCGGTAACAGACTTATTTTTAGCCAGCTACTTCTTCAAAAATAATTACTGCTACTTTTCATTTTAAAAAAGTTTCAATTCGCTAGTCAGAAAAGTCAGCTGAGCCATCTCCCGCTAGAATAAAGGATATGCATCTTCTATCAATCTATGGATAGGACAGGCGCCTGTCAGTCACAAAGTGAGTGATGACAAGGAAACAGCTGTCTGCCCCACCTCCCGGTACCGGTGTGATGTGTGTGCGCTGTGGTTGGTTGCAGTCTAATTTCTTTTTTTTTGTTTTTTGTTTTGGGGGGGTGTCTAATTTCTTTAGCTGGAGGAGGGAGAGAGCATGGTGCTCCATCTCTGTGAGTGAATTTGCACATGTCATGTGCAAATTCCTCATTCGCATACTTATATTGAAAACATTCGATGAAGATTGTGAATCCTCACTGCAGGAACAATAGGTTTTTTTCTTCTTCAATTTAACCTTTAATTTATTTTTCAAGATAATGTGCCTTATTTACTTAATTTTTCTGTTTTAATAAAATACATAATTTGAACAAACATCACTGTGGCAATTCCTATCTTGCAGTAAAACTGTAAATAAGACATTTAATGTTAAAAAAGGTTTAATATTCTCCACTTAGAAAATAGTCCTGATCATATAGCCTAGACGATTTCCAAAAGAACTAACAATACACTAAATTCATACATTTTCAGTAATTTAAATTGTAAAGTAATTTCTTTCTACCCAATACCAAAACAAAATGTACCAACCTGGGAGGTAAACTCGATAAAGTATTCAATAATTTCGCAGTGTATTTTGGATGGAATCAAGGCATTAGAATGTTCCAGAGGTCACCAAAAGAGAGCTTGCTCTGCAAAAATGTACTACTACTAGTAAATTACTACAACTACTCTATGTACTTTGGGAAAACACTGCGTTCTACGAAAATGGTGGCTTTTTCAACTACGAACTACTAAAAAGGTTTATTATTTTCTTTACCCAAAATGTATAGTCAGATAGTTAAAAACTCCTTAACATTATAAATCAACATAAATGACAGCTTAATGTATTTTGATATTTTTACTACATTACATTTTTTTTCTTCGTTTTTTTGTTTTACATTTTAGTTAAATGCTTGCGTTCCTTTTTGTCACTGGTGTTACCTATATTTTAGATGACAATTTAGGCTTTCCAAAATTCTATTTCACGATTGAATTTGCATATATAATCAAAGAGAAAATGTTAATGATAATATTAAGACAATGTTTTGATTAGTAATAATTTACTTTAAAACATGTATGTGTAAAGTACCATTGTGTAATACCAGTGACGGTAACAAAATGACAGTAACACCAATGATGGTGACACCAGTGACCAATAACATTATTAAAACATTTTACATTTACATTTTAGTAATTTAGCAGACAATCTTATCCAGAGCGACTTACAGTTAGTGAGTGCATACATTTAAAAAAAAATCATACTTCTATTAACAACAGCAGGAACAGTAACACCAGTGACGGTAACACCAGTGCCAAGTCTGCAGACAAGATGGCATAGATAATATGGCGGCCACAGTAGCTCAAACCACACTTCTTAAATTGTAAATAAATCACTTGATCTTGTGATTTTATAAATTATTTTAATAAAATGTCCCCCTACTATAAAAACTGTCTAACACCAGTGACATCTTAAGGCTTCGCATGAAATTACCAAATGAATCATCAAATTGCTAACATATTAAGAGAGTGCAGACACACCATGCAGTTTTTTTTAATAAAGGGTAACACCATTGACATGTAATTGAGGGACAGCTATTCCCTGTAAATAACGTTTTATCTTTAGTTTTTTAAGTAGTCCACGAAATAAAGCTAATACTTTCTTTAACATTATGACATTTAAAGTGGGAGAAAAATATTTTTACAAAAAATGTGTCACTAAACCTTGACTCATGACCAGAGGGACAAGCCCATTTCATGATACTGGCCGGGTTGGACAATATATTACAACATTTGTTTAGCAATTTACAGTGAGGGAACGTTTGCCCACTGACAAAGACATGATCAGTCTATAATTTTAATGGTAGGTTTATTTGAACAGTGAGAGACAGAATAACAACAACAAAATCCAGAAAAACACATGTCAAAAATGTTATAAATTGATTTGGATTTTAATGTGGGAAATAAGTATTTGACCCCTCTGCAAAACATGACTTAGTACTTGGTGGCAAAACCCTTGTTGGCAATCACAGAGGTCAGACGTTTCTTGTAGTTGGCCACCAGGTTTGCACACATCTCAGGAGGGATTTTGTCCCACTCCTCTTTGCAGATCTTCTCCAAGTCATTAAGGTTTCGAGTCTGACGTTTGGCAACTCGAACCTTCAGCTCCCTCCACAGATTTTCTATGGGATTAAGGTCTGGAGACTGGCTAGGCCACTCCAGGACCTTAATGTACTTCTTCTTGAGCCACTCCTTTGTTGCCATGGCCGTGTGTTTTGGGTCATTGTCATGCTGGAATACCCATCCACGACCCATTTTCAATGCCCTGGCTGAGGGAAGGAGGTTTTCACCCAAGATTTGACGGTACATGGCCCTGTCTATCGTCCCTTTGATGTGGTGAAGTTGTCATGTCCCCTTAGCAGAAAAACACCCCCAAAGCATAATGTTTCCACCTCCATGTTTGATGGTGGGGATGGTGTTCTTGGGGTCATAGGCAGCATTCCTCCTCCTCCAAACACGGCGAGTTGAGTTGATGCCAAAGAGCTCGATTTTGGTCTCATCTGACCACAACACTTTCACCCAGTTCTCCTCTAAATCATTCAGATGTTCATTGGCAAACTTCAGACGGGCCTGTATATATGCTTTCTTGAGCAGGGGGACCTTGCGGGCGCTGCAGGATTTCAGTCCTTCACAGCGTAGTGTGTTACCAATTGTTTTCTTGGGGACTATGGTCCCAGCTGCCTTGAGATCATTGACAAGATCCTCCCGTGTAGTTCTGGGCTGATTCCTCACCGTTCTCATGATCATTGCAACTCCACGAGGTGAGGTATTGCATGGAGCCCCAGGCCGAGGGAGATTGACAGTTATTTTATGTTTCTTCCATTTGCGAATAATCGCACCAACTGTTGTCACCTTCTCACCAAGCTGCTTGGCGATGGTCTTGTAGCCCATTCCAGCCTTGTGTAGGTCTACAATCTCTTCCCTGACATCCTTGGGAGCTCTTTGGTCTTGGCCATGGTGGAGAGTTTGGAATCTGATTGATTGCTTCTGTGGACAGGTGTCTTTTATACAGGTAACAAGCTGAGATTAGGAGCACTCCCTTTAAGAGTGTGCTCCTAATCTCAGCTCGTTACCTGTATAAAAAGACACCTGGGAGCCAGAAATCTTTCTGATTGAGAGGGGGTCAAATACTTATTTCCCTCATTAAAATGCAAATCAATTTATAACATTTTTGACATGCGTTTTTCTGGATTTTGTTGTTGTTATTCTGTCGCTCACTGTTCAAATAAACCTACCATTAAAATTATAGACTGATAATTTCTTTGTCAGTGGGCAAAAGTACAAAATCAGCAGGGGATCAAATACTTTTTTCCCTCACTGTAACTGTCTTACATACATATTTTCTTAAAAATAAAACACTAATTTAAACAGAAAACATTGTGTCAGAGATTCTGACATTTAAGTGTTTTTGGTGGTGGTTAAGGCGGGGACTGGAAAGCCACTATTTTCGTAGATGACCCGGCTGAAGAAGTAAATAGCACGGGGGGCCAGTATGAAAAAATAAAAATAATAATGTATGCACTAACTGTAAGTCGCTCTGGATAAGAGCGTCTGCTAAATGACTAAAATGTAATGTAATGCAAACTGTTGAGGGCCCAAAAAGGTGGCACTTTTTTTGCACTGAAACATGCAAAAAAATCCCTGCTAGGGGGAAATGCAGGTTTTAACTAATTAAACAACAAAGAATATGATCTACATGATCAGTAAAAAAAAAAGTGGTTAATGTGAACCTAACTCACAGCTAAAAAATGTAAAGAAAGCAATCCAATGTTATTTGTTGCCTAGAATTTACTGCAAATGACACTCAAGTCTTGAGAAAAAACAATACACTAACATTGCAGTTAGCCATGGCAGCCTTTATAATAGAACGCCTGTGACCACACACACACATCTAAATATTGCACTTGGGGGAAAAAAACATATTCAAGTAGAAATAGAACGAAACAAAAAGGCATTCTATTTTTGCTCTATTAGTGGCCACTATAGTAGACATTGATAAAGTGCACAAGACTACATGTGTGCAAAAATAACATTCACTGAGTAAAAAATTAAATCATCCCCCCTCACTCACACACAAGTGTTACTGTCAAATTCAACACAACAAAAGCAATATCTTTGGGCTACACGGCATATTATTACATTGTACACTTTCTGCCTGTGGACATCTGTTCTACAATGTGCCAGCAGAGCATGAGACCCTTTGTTGGCATAACTGATCTCTTTCAGGCAGAGTACACCTGGCATACCCCATTATCCACTGTATTGAAAAAGTGAGAAAGAGGGAAAGTGTGTGGTGTTCCTTTCACCTCTATAGTAACCTCCTGTAGCTCAGTTGGTAGAGCATGGCGCTTGCAACACCAGGGTTGTGGGTTCGATTCCCACGGGGGGCCAGTATGAAAAATGTATGCACTCACTAACTGTAAGTCGCTCTGGATAAGAGCATCTGCTAAATGACTCAAATGTAAATTATAGTGGCATCCAGTTTAAGCCAGGCCCAGCTCCAGCTACACTTGATCCCTGAATCCACTTGTTTAACAAGCAACGCCTCATTGTCACCTAATTCACTCATTCTGAAAATTAACCACATACTGTAGAGGGAAAACATTAGTTCACAGATAGTAGTTATTTCGTTAGCTAGTTAACTAGTTAACATTTCATACAGATTGCCAGGGTCCAGTAAGCAACTACCGCGTTATAACTTGAGGAACGGTAAAGAGTCGTATACCAGTTAATCCTATAGCGAATTGGTTACGTTACTAACGTTAGCTCATCTGATGTTGTAACGTTAGCTGTCTGACTATTAGCCAGCTAATATTCACACCATAAACTCAATTTTTTATCAGTTAAGTTGGCTAACGTTGCTCAACATTTCTCTGGCTAGCTGACGGAGAATTCGATCCAGCTAGCAAGATACTTAACAATGCTAACAATACTTTCTCCCTCACCTCAAACTTTCCAAATGGCAGTTGTTTTTTCGGTTACAGCTCATGAAGTCCGCTTCATCACCTTCTCACCCCAGTCTCCGTGGTCAGGCTTCTCACCTACCTCTTCGTTATCGTTCAGGGGACGCGCTGCTGTAACTGGCAAATTACCTTTCCACTCTCCGCTGTCTTTCTAGTGCGCGCGCTGATGCTGTAATTAGCAAATTGGTTGTCTCTTCTCTCTTCAGTCGCGTGCTGCATTCTGTTGTTATGTGAACGATTGGCTGAGCCTTGGATACAGCCAGTATTGCTCGAAACGCGCATCACTCGTTCGTTTACAGTCAGTACTGATCCAAAGCCCACCCCTCCCAAACTTTTCTCATCGGATCTACACGAATCACGTAGGTCACCTATTTTGTATTCAAAACGGCGAATTTCGCCGAAAGATGACTAGTTTGCATCCCTGAAATAGAGAACTTTAAAGAATTATGAAGTGGAAATCACATTTGCATGCTAAACGTTCATTACCTTCCGTTTCTCCTGCTTCAGCTTCATGAACATGAGGTGTCTGCGTTGTTTATTTTTTATTTCAGACACACTGAATGTGGGTGGAAACGAGAATTCTGCTGGCGCATCCACATGTTCTGGATCTGTTTTCTCAACCATGCTATCGTCACCATTTTCATGTTGAGGCTTTGGCTGTTTCTTTGGCTTCTTAGTCTTCTTTTTCGTGGGTTTATCCTGTATGTCATGCTCTTCTACGACGTCCATGTTGTCAGCTGAATGTATGTTCTTTCACGTGTGCTTTCCAGTACTTCCGCCTTGCTTCCTCATGTAAAAGGAAGTTACGTTCAGTAGAAAAACGAAACGCCCTTTCTCAAAGATTATCCCGCCTCTTCGTTGCTCCTATTTTGAAAGGAAGAAAACAGTTCTAAAATCATTACAGAACAACTGCGTGAAACTGTCTTGGGGAAAATAATAATAAATTTAGAAAACCCATGTCAACCATACAGGACACAAAGGCAGATTATACATTTGTTTATGTTATAATGAAATAACTATTTCACAAAGATCAAGGAGTCCTCAGAGATCCAACCCATGTTATAGAACTTGTATTCATGTATTAAGGTGATTACTACAGAGAGCCCCCTCAATAAAGCATTCAGACACTCTTTCTGGGTTGTGTATCTTTCTTTGTCCAGGTCCCATCTGCCTTCAACAGAGATTGCCTTCACTGAGAACCATAAAATGGATTTTGAAAATAGCTATTTATTATTATTATTATTTTATTTTTTACATGGGATGGTTATTTTGGACAGAAAACAATTACATCAAGACATAATTGTATTTCAGAAAACAAAAGTAATAGCTGACCTCAGAATGTATATTTACATATACATTTTACTCATGTAGCAGACGCGCTTATCCGGAGCGACTTACAGTTAGTGAATGCGTACATGTATTTTTATTTTTCACATCCCTGCAGGCCAAACCCTCCCCTACCTTGGACGACGCTGGACCAATTGTGCGCCGCCCATGGGTCTCCCGGTCGCGGCCGGCTGCGACAGAGCCTGGACTCGAACCAGGATCTCTAGTGGGACAGACCACTGCGCCACTCGCGAGTCATATTGTCGGTTACTTTAATGTGAGTGTTTGGGATGTTAGGTTGGCCTCCTGTCTTGGGGAAAACCGTTTTTGATATAGGACAATTGTATTGGTTTATTGATATACGTGTCCTGTGGGCCTATCTACATCGAGTGTCCAACTTATGTGTCAAACATAAAATCATGTTTTTTTTACTGTTCTTCAACAATATTGTACAACTGGTGGCATCAGGCTGAATTGTGAGTACAATTTACATAGGTACTTTTGGTAAACAGTCACTTGTTTTGGTAAACATGAATTGATAGCGCACTACACTGAGTGTACAAAACATTAAGGACACCTGCTCTTTCCATGACATAGACTGACCAGGTGAGTGCAGGTGAAAGTTATGATCCCTTATTGATGTTGTGGTGTCACTTGTTAAATCCACTTCAATCCGTGTAGATGAAGGGGAGGAGACAGGTTAAAGAAGGATTTTAAAGCCTTGAGACAATTGAGACATGAATTGTGTATGAGTTCCGTTCTGAGGGTGAATGGGCAAGACAAAATATTTTAAGTGCCTATGAACTGGGTATGGTAGTAGGTGCCCGGTGCACTGGTTTGTGTCAAGAACTGCAACGCTGCTGGGTTTTCCATGCTCAACAGTTTCCTGTGTGTATCAAGAATGGTCCACCACCCAAAGTACATCCAGCTAGCTTGACACAACTGTGGGAGGCATTGGAGTCAACATGGGCCAGCATCCCTGTTTTGTACACTCAGTGTATTGTATATGCAAGGACTAACAGTCCATGACATCCAAGAGATCGTTTTAACCACATGACATTGGTTGTTTATATAATTGATATTTATAAACAATTGAGAAATAAAACCTTATATTTGGGCATATTATGATACAGTTGGGAGCTTTTTTCTTGATAATATTTCACATTTTCAGCACTTTTCTATTTTAATCAGGGCAAATAGCCTACTGTGACAACTAGGCAGTTCAGAATGATAGGGCTGTTTACAATATTATGTGACATGATGGTGGGTAAGTGAGAAACAAACAAAACAAATGGTTGATACAATGAAGACAGTTATGCATGTCCTATGTATAAATGCATAGCAATTCTTACATTTTATTGTCTGATTTCCTGAGAGCATTAGTACTGTGCTTCTAGACCTAACCAACTAAACAGCTACACATTAAGACTGCAAAGGGTATACACTTTTTCAACAGCCGCTGTTTCTTATTTAATGACGGAACACAGGAAGAGAGATCGACATTCGACTCTACTAAAGGCATGGCTCATAACTACCAACAACATTGTTGAAAGTCTTCCACACAGCTTGGTTGTCTGTGCATATGGCCCCTCCACCTCTGCGCTCCTGGCTAACCTCTCTGTTCATGTCAGCAATACAGGTCCAGTGATACTTGGCGCCCGCCGTTGTCACACACCACTTGGAATGATCCACGGTGATGCTATATGACTTAACCGAGGGGAGCTGCAACGTTATCACATTGTACACATTGTGGGCAATGGTGCAGTTGGATGGCAGGGGCTGGTGCATCCTGCCCCAGCTCTTGGCATAGAGGGCACTCTCCAAATATTTACAGAGAAGACCAGAGTAGAGATCTACAGGAACAAAAGAGGCACAAAAAAGATAGACATGATTGGACTAGTACAAATATGTCAGAAAACAATTCCTTTAGAATTTTACATTTTACATCAATGTGGACGAAGAATAAATACAGAGGTAGTATTTTTAGGCTCATATCTAAAAAAGTGCCTTACCGTCATCAAATCTGCTGTACTTTACATAGCTGACAAACTTGTTTCCTGCCAATGATGTCATATTCAGCTGTCGGTACCAGGGCCCTTTCTTGGGATAGCAGCCTCGGTGGGCCACACACTGGAGCTCGGGGTAGAATGAGTTGGGGATGTTGAAGTCATATGAGTATACATGAATGTACTGGAGCTGAATAGCTGTGAATACAGAAAATAGTGGGTAGAGATACTATATTTCTTTCTCCAATTTAGCACACCATCACCATGCTGTAAAATCAATTATATTTATCCTGGAACCAAAACACATGTTGATTTCAATATTTGAAGGAACCATATAGGCAGTGGTGTTCAAATAACATTGTCAGGAGTCAAACTTGTAAAATCTAGATTATGCTGTTTCAATCACATACTCAATATAGGTTATGTATTTGGATACATTACCAATATTTCTGAATTCGCTGTATTTGTAGGTCCCACAGATGAATGTTTGACCGTTGTGGTATCCACTGTCGGGCCAGAAGTTGGTTGTTTTCATCCCTGGAAAGTGAGGTGTGCTATGCGAGAGCCAAATTCCAGTGTATTTGTCCATCATCACAACCCCTGTAACACGCATGTAAAAATATGTATTTTCAGTACTAGACACGAGACAACATCAGGTGACCCACCAGGAACACATAAAAAAAACATTTAAAAAACATTTCAATTGACTGATTTTCCTTAAACAACGTTTGCTTACCTGGAGAGATGATTTGCTTAGTGAATATAACTGGATATTTATATCCTCTATCTCAATAGTGTTATTCAATGTCTGAAGAGCTGGAGCATTCAGTGTGAGTTACTGTTTATTCATGAACAGTGCATCAAGGCGCCACCAACCTTTGCTGTGTCCATATGATGAGGCAGAAGTATGAAAGGGCTTTGGTGGTTGATCATTGTAAAGGATGTATCCAAAGCTCTCTGTCTAATAGTAATACAAAAACAAGCAACAAATGTAGATTATAATGAGCTGTTTAATCATTATTTACAGCACAAGAAAGAGAGGCAAATCATCTGCTCTCACCTTCTTTGTGATGTGCTCATAGAGGGGCTGAAGTGTACGAGCCAAAGCGCTGGACTTGTCGTTGATACTTGTCTTTCCATATAGCCACCCATTGGTGCTCTCATCCATGTACAAGTACTTCAAACCGTTGTCACTGTCAATAGAGGGCAGCTTGTATAGAATATACCTGATGGACAGTCAGAACAGAAACACAAGCACAAGGTATGTCAATGGTTGCTAAAAGATTTGCAAGTAGATCAGCATATTTATTTTATCACGAGAGTATTTCATCATGTGTATAACAATAATCTAGTAATTTTTGATAACTCCAAGGGCAAGTTTATTTGACATAGATTAAGCCTAGTCCTAGATTAAAAATCACTTTTAATGGAGATTCTCCTTTGAGCATGTACAGTGGGGGAAAAAAGTATTTAGTCAGCCACCAATTGTGCAAGTTCTCCCACTTAAAAAGATGAGAGAGGCCTGTAATTTTCATCAAAGGTACACGTCAACTATGACAGACTATTTGAGATTTTTTTTCTCCAGAAAATCACATTGTAGGATCTTTATGGAATTTATTTGCAAATTATGGTGGAAAATAAGTATTTGGTCACCTACAAACAAGCAAGATTTCTGGCTCTCACAGACCTGTAACTTCTTCTTTAAGAGGCTCCTCTGTCCTCCACTCGTTACCTGTATTAATGGCACCTGTTTGAACTTGTTATAAGTATAAAAGACACCTGTCCACAACCTCAAACAGTCACACTCCAAACTCCATTATGGCTAAGACCAAAGAGCTGTCAAAGGACACCAGAAACAAAATTGTAGACCTGCACCAGGCTGGGAAGACTGAATCTGCAATAGGTAAGCAGCTTGGTTTGAAGAAATCAACTGTGGGAGCAATTATTAGGAAATGGAAGACATACAAGACCACTGATAATCTCCCTCGATCTGGGGCTCCACGCAAGATCTCACCCCGTGGGGTCAAAATGATCACAAGAACGGTGAGCAAAAATCCCAGAACCACACGGGGGGACCTAGTGAATGACCTGCAGAGAGCTGGGACCAAAGTAACAAAGCCTACCATCAGTAACACACTACGCCGCCAGGGACTCAAATCCTGCAGTGCCAGACGTGTCCCCCTGCTTAAGCCAGTACATGTCCAGGCCCGTCTGAAGTTTGCTAGAGTGCATTTGGATGATCCAGAAGAGGATTGGGAGAATGTCATATAGTCAATATAACTTTTTGGTAAAAACTCAACTCGTCGTGTTTGGAGGACAAAGAATGCTGAGTTGCATCCAAAGAACACCATACCTACTGTGAAGCATGGGGGTGGAAACATCATGCTTTGGGGCTGTTTTTCTGCAAAGGGACCAGGACGACTGATCCGTGTAAAGGAAAGAATGAATGGGGCCATGTATCGTGAGATTTTGAGTGAAAACCTCCTTCCATCAGCAAGGGCATTGAAGATGAAACGTGGCTGGGTCTTTTAGCATGACAATGATCCCAAACACACCGCCCGGGCAACGAAGGAGTGGCTTCGTAAGAAGCATTTCAAGGTCCTGGAGTGGCCTAGCCAGTCTACAGATCTCAACCCCATAGAAAATCTTTGGAGGGAGTTGAAAGTCTGTGTTGCCCAGCGACAGCCCCAAAACATCACTGCTCTAGAGGAGATCTGCATGGAGGAATGGGCCAAAATACCAGCAACAGTGTGTGAAAAACTTGTGAAGACTTACAGAAAACGTTTGACCTGTGTCATTGCCAACAAAGGGTATATAACAAAGTATTGAGAAACATTTGTTATTGACCAAATACTTATTTTCCACCATAATTTGCAAATAAATTCATTAAAAATCCTACAATGTGATTTTCTGGATTTTTTTTCTCATTTTGTCTGTCATAGTTGACGTGTACCTATGATGAAAATTACAGGCCTCTCTCATCTTTTTAAGTGGGAGAACTTGCACAATTGGTGGCTGACTAAATACTTTTTTTCCCCACTGTATGTGTACTCACCAGTCCACAGCATCTCCCTGCTCATTTCTGCAGGACACTGTGGATTTGGCTTCACTCCCACCCCAGAGGAGCATCAAACACAATAACACTCTCCACATCACTTACTAGGACAAAGCACAAATGCATCAGATAAAGGTTATGATTATAGCATTGATGTATTTACAATACATGTGAAAAAAGTAACAGATTAAACAGCTGGATATAGACAATATATTAATACATCAGAATGCTGAGTCATATTTCATTCCGTGTCTTAATGAATTAATACTTTCATATTATTTTGAAGCAATAGCATACAAAACAGACAAAATATTATAGGAATCACTTCAAAACCCACCAAAATCAGAGGTTGAGGGTAGTACTTTGTCTCCTAGCAGCTCCTAGCAGTTGTCTGTCTGAGATCCGCCGACCTACTGGAGTTCTCCAACTCAATTTATAACAAGAATCAGCCACTCATTAGTGTGCATAGATAAAGACCATGTTTATAAGAAGTGATTTAAGTTATAACCAGTGCCTGATAACATAAAGCCAAAAACAATAATGCTTATCGCTCAATCACTCTTCATGTTTTGAGTTATTTGAGTGGGTCCACTTGTTCCTTATTTGATGTTCCTTTATGTAAGTAGTTATTGTTCCTATCCCGTGACTTTGGGCTACATTCATTCTGTAGCACTGAAAAGCCACGCTGTAGCGCGATTGAAATTTCAAGGTAATGTTCCCGTGTTCACTGAGACTGCATTCACGGTAAACGCTGCATATGTCGCCTCAATCTGGGTTTTGACTGGAAAGCCCTGAGAGATGCAGTCACACAGTACCTTTAGAATTGAAGGTCAAACCTTTCCAAACAACATCAGGAAACATCTTACATTATGGTTGTGAATCATGGTTTATCAATCAAGATTAGAAAATAAAATAAACTCTGTTGCCACATCCTGCTACAGAATCCTTCTCAATGTCAAACGTACAGGTCATGAATGCAACCCATACTGTCACACTCTGGCTCCGGGACTTGTATTTGAGCCAGGGTGTATTCGTGTTGTTGGGGTTTGTTTTGGTTAGGTTGGGAATAGGGTGTGTTCATTTGGGTGTGTGTGGTTTTGGTTAGTTCTTGTGGAGTCATGTGACTCCCAATCGGAGGTAACGAGTGTCAGCTGTCGGCTCGTTATCTCTGATTGGGAGCCATATTTATCTGTATGTTTTCCTTTGGGTGTTGTGGGTTTTTGTTCCGTTTCGGTCGGTGTACCGTGGACTTCATGAGTCGTCTTTTGTTTGTAGTTCGAAACTTTAATTAATAAAGTCATGTTTCTTGCACACGCTGCGCCTTGGTCTCCTTCGCTCTTAGACGACCGTGACAGAAAAACCCACCAATCTAGGACCAAGCGGCGTGTCAAGCGGCAACAGGATCCACCTACACAGGATTCATGGACATGGGAGGAGATACTGGATGGAAGGGGTCCTTGGGCACAACCGGGAGAATATCGCCGCCCTCGTGAAGAGCTGGAGGCAGCTAAAGCCGAGAGGAGGCAATATGAGGAGGCAGCACAGAGGCAAGGCTGGAAGCCCGTGAGCACTAGCCAAAAATTTCTTGGGGGGGGCTTTAAAGGGAGTGTGGCGAAGTCAGGTAGGAGACCTGCGCCTACTCCCTGTACTTACCGTGGAGAGCGAGAGTACGGGCAGACACCGTGTTACGCAGTAGAGCGCATGGTGTCTCCTGTACGCGTGCATAGCCCGGTTCGGTACATTCCAGCTCCACGTATCGGCCGGGCTAGATTGAGCGTTGAGCCGGATGTCATGAAGCCGGTCCAACGCATCAGGCCACCAGTGCGTCTCCTCGGGCCGGCTTACATGGCACCAGCCTTACGCATGGTGTCCCCGGTTCGCCTACATAGCCCGGTGCGGGTTATTCCTCCTTCCCGTACTGGTCGGGCGACGGGGAGCATACAACCAGGTAAGGTTGGGCAGGCTCAGTGCTCAAGGGAGCCAGTAAGCCTGCACGGTCCGGTATTTCCGGCGCCACCTCCCCGCTCCAGCCCAGTACCACCAGTGCCTACACCACGCACCAAGCCTCCTGTGTGTCCCCAGAGTCCTGTGCGTCCTGTTGCTGCTCCCCGCACTAGCCCTGAGATGCGTGTCCTCAGCCCGGGACCACCAGTTCCGGCACCACGCACCAGGCCTATAGTGCGTCTCGGCCGGCCAGAGTCTGCCGTCTGCCCAACGGCGCCTGAATTGCCCGTCTGCCCAACGGCGCCTGAACTGCCCGTCTGCCCAACGGCGCTTGAACTGCCCGTCTGCCCAACGGCGCCTGAACTGCCTGTCTGCCCAACGCCGTCTGAACTGTCCGTCTGCCAAGCGCTGCATGAACTGCCCGTCTGTACTGAGCCTGCAAAGCCGCCCGTCTGCCATGAGCCTTCAGAGCCGTCCGCCAGACCGGAGCCGCTAAAGCCTTCCGCCAGACAGGAGCCGCTAGAGCCTTCCGCCAGACAGGATCAGCCAGAGCCTTCCGCCAGACAGGATCAGCCAGAGCCTTCCGCCAGACAGGATCAGCCAGAGCCTTCCGCCAGACAGGATCAGCCAGAGCCTTCCGCCAGACAGGATCAGCCAGAGCCTTCCGCCAGACAGGATCAGCCAGAGCCTTCCGCCAGACAGGATCAGCCAGATCCGTCAGCCTGCCATGAGCAGCCAGATTCGTCAGCCAGCCATGAGCAGCCAGATCCGTCAGCCTGCCATGAGCAGCCAGATCCGTCAGCCAGCCATGAGCAGCCAGATCCGTCAGCCAGCCATGAGCAGCCAGATCCGTCAGCCAGCCATGAGCAGCCAGATCCGTCAGCCAGCCATGAGCCGTCCAGCCAGGATCCGCCAGAGCCGTCCAGCCGGGGTCCGCCAGCCAGCCAGGATCCGCCAGAGCCAGCCAGCCAGGATCCGCCATTCAGTCCGGTGCTGCCCCTTAGTCCGGTGCTGCCCCTTAGTCCGGTGCTGCCTCTTAGTCCGGTGCTGCCCCTTAATCCGGTGGGGTTAAGTTGGAGGGTGGTCAGTTGGAGGAGGCTACGGAAGCGGGTAGTGACTATGGTGGGGTGGGGACCACGACCAGAGCCGGAACCACCGCCGAAGAGGTATGCCCACCCAGCCCTCCCTGGGTTAGCCCTAGTTGAGGCGCGGTCGCAGTCCGCGCCTTTAGGGGGGGGTACTGTCACACTCTGGCTCCGGGACTTGTATTTGAGCCAGGGTGTATTCGTGTTGTTGGGGTTTGTTTTGGTTAGGTTGGGAATAGGGTGTGTTCATTTGGGTGTGTGTGGTTTTGGTTAGTTCTTGTGGAGTCATGTGACTCCCAATCGGAGGTAACGAGTGTCAGCTGTCGGCTCGTTATCTCTGATTGGGAGCCATATTTATCTGTATGTTTTCCTTTGGGTGTTGTGGGTTTTTGTTCCGTTTCGGTCGGTGTACCGTGGACTTCATGAGTCGTCTTTTGTTTGTAGTTCGAAACTTTAATTAATAAAGTCATGTTTCTTGCACACGCTGCGCCTTGGTCTCCTTCGCTCTTAGACGACCGTGACACATACAGTGAGTAAAATGTCACCAGCTGAGATTCTTAGGACATCTCCTCTCCCAGACGAAGAGCATGCAAATAGATATGTCCTCTATATTCCATGTCATGGCATAACAAGACCAGGGCACCAGCGAACATCATACCCCACATACAGGTAACTACCAAAATAAAGCAATCACCAACGTAAAGTTTCTAAATAGGGCATTGGGCCACCACGAGCCAGAATCGCTTCAATGCAACTTGGCATAGATTCTACAAGTGTCCAGAACTCTATTTGAGGGATGCGACACCATTCTTCCACAAGAAATTCCATCATTTGGTCTTTTGTTGACGGTGGTGGAAAACGCTGTCTCAGGTGCCGGTCCAGGATCTCCCATAAGTGTTCAATTGGTTGAGATCTGGTGACTGAGAGAGCCATAGATGCGGTAAAGAGGTAAATGGAATGCAGACCGTGGGGGCGTAGAGGAAGGACGCCGGATTGGCGCACATTCAACAAATCTGATTTAACAAAGTGGATATACGTCAAATACATCATGATTGATGTATTGCAGGGGTAGGCAACCCTGGTCCTGGAGTGCCGCAGGCACTTCATGTTTTTGATTTAACCAACCTGGAAGACCAGGTGTGTTGAATTTAGGCAAATCACAGAACTGATCAATTAGCTCAGTTGGTCAGGTGTGGTGCCTAGTTGGAACAAAGCCCTGTAGGGTTGCCTACCCCTCATGTATTATAACAGGCCCACAATGTGGTTACTAAAGTCCAATTTGGATATACAGTATTAGGCTGTTTTCGCTGCATAACATTTAGAAGTAGCTTCTTTTCAGGTTTAGAAGAAGTGACTGCTAAATGCTAACTCCTGTTCGTATAAGCTGGTAGCATAGAGAAATCGGTGGTGGTAGTAAAAGTCATTTTTAACTGTAATGCAGTTGATTGGTGACGATGACATTAACATATACAGTGGGGAGAACAAGTATTTGATACACTGCCGATTTTGCAGGTTTTCCTACTTACAAAGCCTGTAGAGGTCTGTAATTTTAAAAAATCCAGAAAATCACATTGTATGATTTTTAAGTAATTAATTTGCATTTTATTGCATGACATAAGTATTTGATCACCTACCAACCAGTAAGAATTCCGGCTCTCACAGACCTGTTCGTTTTTCTTTAAGAAGCCCTCCTGTTCTCCACTCATTACCTGTATTAACTGCACCTGTTTGAACTCGTTACCTGTATAAAAGACACCTGTCCACACACTCAATCAAACAGACTCCAACCTTTCCACAATGGCGAAGACCAGAGAGCTGTGTAAGGACATCAGGGATAAAATTGTAGACCTGCACAAGGCTGGGATGGGCTACAGGACAATAGGCAAGCAGCTTGGTGAGAAGGCAACAACTGTTGGCACAATTATTAGAAAATGGAAGAAGTTCAAGATGATGGTCAATCACCCTCGGTCTGGGGCTCCATGCAAGATCTCACCTCGTGGGGCATCAATGATCATGAGGAAGGTGAGGGATCAGCCCAGAACTACACGGCAGGACCTGGTCAATGATCTGAAGAGAGCTGGGACCACAGTCTCAAAGAAAACCATTAGTAACACACTACGCCGTCATGGATTAAAATCCTTCAGCGCACGCAAGGTCCCCCTGCTCAAGCCAGCGCATGTCCAGGCCCGTCTGAAGTTTGCCAATGACCATCTGGATGATCCAGAGGAGGAATGGGAGAAGGTCATGTGGTCTGATGAGACAAAAATAGAGCTTTTTGTTCTAAACTCCACTCACCGTGTTTGGAGGAAGAGGAAGGATGAGTACAACCCCAAGAACAGCATCCCAACCGTGAAGGATGGAGGTGGAAACATCATTCTTTGGGGATGCTTTTCTGCAAAGGGGACAGGACGACTGCACCGT